AAGTTTTGCCTTTGGACTACCATCATGTGGGTGCACTGTAAACGCACATACATACGTACAAGTATATTTGTTTGCAACACAAATTGCAACTGTTGCCTTTGTTAGCACAGCTGTGGCTTCATCGCACACCCACATCCACATCTCGAAGCTAAGCCGACAAACCTTTGCCTCTGTCTTGTTTTGCATGCATTTTTTCATCATTGTTTTCAACTCATGCTTCTTCTTATTCTTGTGCGTTGGCTTCAGCACACGCTTGCCTTTCTATCATACGCTTCGTGCGAACTTTCTGCTTGCTTACTTGCAACGGAGTTGCTTGTGTTGTTGGAATCGTTTGTTATGCACAGCGGCAAATATAGGAAATAGCTTGGTAGGTCTATGGCAATGACTCCGTTTGTGTGTCGCTACGGCAGCGTCAACTTGAATGACGAATGCTTGCAGCCACGCCTTGCTATGCACGGTTACAAATGTAGTGTCATTCTATTTTTTGCGCACCAGCAAAACAGCCATGCATACATTCATACATTCATACATGGCATGCCAGTACCATACATCCTTCTATGCTGATAACCTCCCGGTGATTTGCTATGTTCGTTTAACTTCAAAGGCGCCAACAGAGCTAGCAATTCGTTGTCGCTCCCTGCAAGATTTAGTGGGTGTGTCTGTCTCTCCGTCTCTCCAAGTGTTTGGTGAATGTGAGATATTAGCGGTAATCTTGCAGCTTCAGGAGTATCTATGGTATATGCGATTGGACCGGTAGTGGCGATAATTGCTTTAAAATGTATTGTTAGTATTTTAGATTATGAATATAGCGGTATTTCAGTGATGGAATATGGAAGGGAGTAGGATGTAAAGGGTGTTTTGAAACATGTGGTTTTCAAAAAGAAATAAAAAGTATAAACTTTAAAGTTATGGAAAGAAATTCAGCTTTATTAAAGAAGTAAGAGTTTGCTCTTCTGTTCTAATAAATGATTTTGCCATATTTTCGACCACTTTTTGCCGCAATCGGATCCGTATGTCAGCAATAACGCGCCGAAAATTCTCTTTACCAGACGTCAATCGTCTCAAGCTTATCTTCGTAGACTAGCGAACCGTGTAGGCGCCGAAGCGATTCTCAACCAAGCTCCTACTCCAATTTTGTGGTAAGGGTCTTAATGTTTTCCAACAAATGATGGGACCCACAGTTTATTCCAAGCCGTCTCCGAATGATTTTTATAAGAAGATTTTATTCCATTTCTGAAATACACTCGGCGGGCTTGACATTTATAAGCCCGAAAAGTAAGAGCCTTCTGGAAAATCTTCAAAAAAGTGCATGGCCACAGCTCCAGATGATGCGCGCGATGGCGGATAGACTCGTTCAGGTGTTCTTCGATACTCTGCCCTACAGCAGAGATGTGAGAATTTGTTTGGTGATATTTAGGCCTCTCAGCTGGAATTTATCTGAACCAGCCGCGGCCGTTACTAGAACCAAATTATTATAATGAAACAAAATTCTTGGTTGGGGTGACAACGTCAGAAATTATACAAAAAATTTTAAAAAGTTCTCCACGACGATTCTCAACTGAAAAAGGAGCAACTTGCAGAAATGGTTGGATTACCCGATACAAAAATTTTCAAAATCCTACACGATCATCTTGGCCTGACTAAGGGCAGCACCAGTTGGGCGCCGGGCAAAAATAACAGCGCGTAGAAAGTTCATGTGCGGGTGTGATTATTATGAACTTGAGTCGAAGCAAGATTCTATGTCACGGCATGAAAAGGGCACAGCAGCTGTAAAGGAGTGTAAGGTGCCACAGTTTGCTGGAAAACTCATGGTAACAGTCTCTTGGGTTTCGTAAGAAATATTGTTGACCGATTGTAAAGTTTGAGAAAAGGTGTTTCCTAACTGAAGAATGCTACGCTTCAATAATAGAGTGAGAAGAGAAATCGCTAAATAGAAAGATGAGGAAAATTGACAAAAGGCGTACTGCTTCTGCACGACAATGCAGCTGTTCACCAAAGTCGCGTTGCGTTGGCTGCTCTGCTACGTTGAATCACCCTCCAAACGTGACAGACCTGGTCCGGAGCGATTATTACCTTTTTTCTAGAAATTAAAAATGAGCTGAGAGTTCGAAAATGTATGGTCGATGATGAAGTCAGTTTCGACGAGTTTTCCATTTATTTAATCATCCCTCAACATGACAGTCCAGGCATTTCACACTCAGCATCGAAAAGATTATTTTGCCACTCGCGTTTTCTTTGTTTTGTTTTTTTTAGTTTTTCAATTCAATTTCATTATTTTCTTAATTCACTTTTCCATTTCCGTCTGCAATGTTATGCTTGCCACTACCAGTTTTCCATTTCCATCAACATTTAAGTTTACGATTTCTTGTTTATTTTTTGTTTGTTTTTGTTTTTTTTTTGTTTTTTTTTTTTTTTTGTAATATTGTCTTTCAGTTCGTGACATTTGCATTTCGTGGCTTATTTATGATTCAAAAATCTCTGTAAATTTAACTGTCACCCGGTGATATATTCTATTTTCTGGCTGTTCCATTGTGGTCGTTTGGCGGTTTTTTTTAAGAAGATATGCAAACACATATGCATACATACATATATATATATATATATGTATGTATGTATATGTGAGATTTTTAATCATTCCTCCGCTGGTCTGTACATGCTCTTGTACTATTCAACTACCTAAATACTAAATATATTTATGTATTTATGTATGCATATATGTATGTTTGTATGCATTTGATATCCCTTGTGCGCGTGCTTGTGACTATTTTATAATTAGAATTTTAAGCTGTTTATATATCCAACATAGCAAAGCCGCAAATGTCCATACGACTAAGCTCAACAGGCACAAAGGACGTTGTGAACATGCACAAGCGCACTTACACATACATACATATGTGCATACTCAATGTACATGGGTTTGAACAAAAAAAAATATTATGTCTCACAATTTTCTGTGTCACTGCTCTTTATCGTCGTGAGTGCTGCCGGGCACACATATACAGTTTTACATGCATATTATATTCTATATATGGTGTATATTTATGTATTTATATGTATGTCAGATTCTCTTTGGCGCTAGTCTACGCTTAACTGTTACTCATTTAAGGCAAGCTATTCACTGACAGTCGCACAGTATGTATTAAAAAATATGGTACATTCTACTTCTCATACACATTCTTCTCCTCGCCTGACAATGCTGAGTTTTAGCATTATTTTTGCATTTACGAGTATGTAAATATGTATACTTGTTTTTTTTTTTACATATATGTATAGCGTAGTATATGCTGTAGTGCTGCTGATCCCTTTATAGCTTTTATGACAGCAGCAGGCTCGAGATTTTCTGATCCCAATTTGGCCCCTTTTCATCTACTTGTCTATGCTCACAATTTCATTTAGTAGATTCTCATTTTTATTTTGCAGTTCTTTATTGTTTCCTATCTTCTTTTTTTGTTGTTTTTTGCTCTTCCTTTTTATTTTTTTTTTTTTTTTGTTATCATTTTGCTAGCTTTATGATTTTTTTATTATTACTATCATTTGGGGCTGGCCAAGTTTTATGTGCTGTACGTTTTTTAGTTCAAGGCTTTTTTCGTTATATAGTACGTATGTATTCCTTCCTCGTTCAAATCAATTTCTTTTACCATTGTTGTGAAGTAAGTGAGCATTACGGCAGGCGAACCGTGAGCCGACGAGTAAGAGAAAGAAAGAGTGTGTGTGTGTATATTTGATGCCCAACTACAGTGCCAGAGCATAGTTTTGGTTGTAAGGTGGGTAAGAATATCGAAAAGGCATGAGCGCATATCATCTCTCAAAAGAAAACCCCATTGACATGATTTAAAATGTAAACTCCTAGACTACTGCAAACAATTGAATGAAACACGAAGTACATCAAAGCATGATAGGTGGAACAAAAGTGAAAGCCGAAAGGCAACGTTAAGCTTTATGATGAAAATCAATTTGTACATTTAAAGCATGATTTTAGGCTGTCAAGCTACGACTATACACATTCATGCGAGTATGTATGCATACGAATATACGGGTTGCTTAATTTGTTTACAAACGAACAGATGTGTGTATGTAGAGTAGCTGGCAAGCACGTGTGCAGGTTAATCTGTTGCGCTTAACGAACAGTGTCGAGCAATGTTGTTCGGTGATTTACGTTTCAAACGAAATCATATATACACATAGTCGTATGTGAATATAAACTTGTATGTAGATCTGCCTTACAAACGCAAATTGAGTAAGATGAGTGAGAAGTGGAACTTCAATTAGGGTCAAGCAAGCCGGAAATTTCATTATAAATTTGTCTTTTTGTTGATTTTTTTATTTATCTTGTATTTGTATTTGTATTGTACTTTATTTAATGTCTTGAACTCAATTGATTCTTTCCAGCAAACAAATCAGCAATGAGAATTGTACAGCTGCGGCATATAGCTTTGGGCAAAAATGTTTGACCTTTTTTAGAGTCGAAAAGTAAAAGTAAAAGTTTTCAGATATAATTATATAATTAAATAATTTGTTTAAACGGAACATAAAAATCTTACTATAATTGAATGTAGACAAAGCAGGGGTATCTACTACCGTTGTGGGGTGTATAATGTCTAAAGGATGAGTTAAATAGCGTAGTTTTCTTTTCATGTATCGATATGTTTTTACAAGAGACTCGAAAGTATGTAGAAAGGCAGTAGTAACCAGTTATATCACTTCGTAGTAAAATATTTGATGAAATTGTGTTTTAATAATGATGATATCACGTTTTTCACAATTTATATATTTTCTTCAGGCTACTCTATACTCTAACATAATACTTTCTGCTTATATTTTTGTTAAACCACAATGTAAAGTATGATACTATAATACTAAAGACATGAAAAGTTTGTCATATGCTTTTTTTGAATATTCCACTGCTGAGTTTTAAACCAATATTCCACTACAGAATTTTTGTATAATTTATATATTTTAATATAATAATAATATTAAAATCTCTTCCCACTTTCTTTCAGGTTGATATCTCCTGCCGTAATACTAAACAAACTGTTAGCTCCATATTGACACGCACAAACTTTGTCACATTGAAATATGTTACCGACAATTGGGGTACAGATGCGAATGGTTTCAAGCTGGTCATAACATCAGTGAAGGATCCAAGTAAGTACATGCATTAAAGAATATATATTATATATTTCACTCATTAACTTTTCATCACACAGTCACTTAACGGTTAAGTAAGTTTCAAAATGCAATTTGAAATTAGCTCGTAAAACTTGCTAATTGACTTTATAGTTGAAGTGACAATGACTCTTTTATCATTTTTTTTTCTCCATCTAACTTCATGCAAATTTTTCATCTTATTTATTAACTGTTTTTCTTCTCTTCTCGGTCTTTCCTCTTTTTTTTGTGCGTTTTGCACTCAATTTTTATATACTAATGCAAATGCACAGAGCACACCTGCAATGATTTCACCTGTGCAGCGCGTGAATTTTGCATAAGTCCAGATTTACTCTGCGATGGCATTAATCATTGTGGTGACAACTCTGATGAATCGGTGTGCCAAAGTAAGTAAGAGTAAGCGAAGGAATTCTATGTTAAAGAAATAAAATGTGTTGTTTAATATAAATATAAGAGAAAATATTTAAAAATTTTACTAACCTAAAGTGAATTCTTCAATGCATATATTTTCAGGTGAAACAGCGGCCACAGTGTTTGGTGTCGATATGACTTGGTTCGTGTTGATCGTGGTCGGCATAGTACTAGTTTTGAGCGCAGTGATTGTAGGCATTTCGATTTGTGTATGTAGGCGACAGGAAGAGTCCAATCTCAATCAGAATACTGCTATACAAAGTAAGCAAATGTTGTCTTAGAAGAAAGATTTTACTAAGCTTTTCGTTTTCTCTCCCCTTCCTCTATAGTGCATCATACCGCCGAAACGAACGGTTCATCGAAGCATTTACACTATCATCATGGCGGCACATTGTCGCGTGAACACACACAACTGCCACCGACCTCGGGAAACTGGCATCACCCTGCGGGACCATACGGGTACCACCGCATTCTACGCAACTTATCGAAGATGGCCACCAAAGTCCGTCCCATTTGGTGCTTAGCAAATTCCGTCAATTAGGTCAAGATCTTTCACATACAAATCCAAACGCTGCCGCCGTAACGGCGGGTCTCAATCAAACGAACATTTCTGTAGCCAATCAAAATGCAGCAGCCGCAGCAGCAGCGGCGGCAGCTGTTGGTGCTGCACAGAAAGATGAATGGTTCGTTTAGGTGGATTTGGAAATAGAACATAACAACAACTTAAGTGAATGATCAATTAGGACTGTTGAGGTTTATTTTTCATTTTTTTTTTTCTTAATAAAAAAAAGGATTTTGCATGGCATTAAATGAAGTAAGTATAAAGAAAGTTTAACGTTATTTAAAAATGGAATTGATTTTGGTTGTGAAAGCTGCAAAAATGTGTAATTTAATTTAAAATTTTTATACTAATTAGTATCTAATTAGCAAGAAATTAAAAACAAAAGTCGAAAAATTATACAATGAAAATACTAAGTCGCATGAAATTAATTTTTCATGGTAACTTACATGAAATATTCCACATCCGAATTTAAAATTTATTTTCTTCACATTCATTTCACTGTTTACGAAATTTCTGACTAGCGAACTAATTTTACTGAACTACAATTTAAATAAGAACACCAAATAGATTTAGAAATTAAATTACAAAGTACCATCCGAAGAAGTAATTAGAAAGAATTTAATTTGTAACAACTTACAACACATTACAAGGCTTTTTGTACCGCTGAATCTTGGGAGCTTTCACACTATTTAAACGCTTTTTCTGAGAAATCAATTTTTCTTTAAACTTGTCATTAATTCCAACATCTCTCTACCTTTCAGGACTGTATAAAACTACAACAACAACATATTAAGTGGACATCTACGCGCAGGGTGATCGTTAAGAGATTTATAGTACCCAAATCTCTTCGCGTTGAGCACGGAAATTTTCAACATGTGCATTTATCAATTGAAGAAGGAAAAAACATGTTGCGAATTTTTTTGTCGGATAATCAACGCCAACTGTAAATAAATTATAAATAAATTTAAAGTAATTGTAATTGATTTAAATTAAAGTAAAAAAAAATATTTTTTAACAAACATACATACAGACATACATACATACATGTAATGGTAAATATATTAGGCAAAATGTGTAATAAAAAAGTGTATGCTGAAAACTTAAGTATATATGTATGTAAAATGATTTTTAAAATTAAGCCTATTAAACTTATGAAAATTAGATGAAAATATAAAATCGTAAATTTACTTACATAAATAGCTAAACAGTTAGTTTTTTAGTGTAAGGTATGTATGCTCCTTTTTTTTACAACCAACCAACCAACCAACCAACCATTTAATTAAGCGAGTAAATAATTCGAAAGTCATTAAATAATAAATAATTAAGGATTTTATTTGAAATAGAACTTCTGTTATAAGTCTTAAAGAATATATGTAAAAGAAAAAATGCATTTAAGCCAGAAATTTATAAAGAAAATATAATAATAATAATTTTAAATCAATAATAAGGTTTACTTTTGTGCATTTAACAGTTTAATTCACTTTTGTTGGGGTAACTTTCGTAATTAGCGCTTTCAAGAGCTCATGTACTTCACACTCAAATATTTCTGCTATGACTACATTTAGGAATTCAACAGGAGAACACTAAAATTCGATAGTATAATATATGAAAGCTCATGCAAAATATGAAAGCTCTGAAAGCGTGAAAGTAGCATAAGCACCCAAAAGTTATAAAAGCTTAGTAAATTAGTAATTAATTTAATTCAAATGCAACTTTTTACACTGAAAAAAATTGCAAAATTACATAAAACTGCAGAGCTGCATCGCCTTGTCTTAGGCAACATTCCAATAAACTCGAATCCGTATAGTATTAAATATAATTCAATGTCAACGGCAATGATATACTACCTAAAAAAGTAACTTCCAAGAGAGGAGAATACATGTTTTTAACAAAATAGTAAAAATGAAGTAAACAAAAACTAAAACCAGAAATCAACAACTGTAATTTAAGCACTCTTTCGGGTGCACATACATATATAAAGCAGGGCAGTGCAATAGTACATACAAGTTATCAAGCAATCCTTGCGATTTGAAAACATAACTTTACACTGCTAAAAAAAATACAGCATAAACCAACCACTTACAGTAGTGAAAGTAAAAGTAAAAAAAAATATATATTAAAAAAGTTACCGAAACTCAATTAAACATTATAATAAAAAGTATAAACAACAAACAAGGGATGTAAATAGTTGACAATACAGCATATTAAAGAAAATAATCGAATAACAAATTGTGTAAACACATAAAAAACACATAAAAATACATACATACATATATAAAAAATATTTGATAATATTTAAAAGCAGTCACAACAGCAGAGGAAAACACGTCATTTTATATTAAGCAGCCGTCATGGAAAGTTTTGTGAAACTTCAGAAAATTCCTACATTTTTTTAATATTTAAATAAAATTATCATTATTTAAGCATTATTACTAGTTAAGCATATAAATTTACTTAGTATTATAATATTTTATAATTTCATTAATTTCATCATTTACATCAACATATCAGCAGTTAGAAAGCCATGCGCTTAATACTCTTTTCAACAGTTCAATCGCATAATAGCATAATTAACCAGAAACTTATCACTTTCACAAAAAAAAAAAAAAATCTCTTCATGAAATCTCTTCAAAAGCATCACGTGATGAAACATCATATGACAAAATATCACGTCACAAATATAAACTGTACTATTTAACTCTAAATTATGATAGTGCGTAATAAATCGGATGGTGTATTATTTTGAAAATTCAATCTCAATCATAAGCATGTATGTAGATAGAATATTTCGATCGTTTAAGCTATGTATACACAATATATTTCTCTCAACTTATACGGTAATGTGTACGACAGCTGGAACGGAGGAATTATGGATATTTTATGTTAAGAAAAAAGGTCTTTTCGCATCATATTTAAAAAAAAAATTGATTAATGTATATTCATTTTATCTTTATCTTATTTTCATACTTACATACATGCATACAAATTGTAGTTCCCATCAAAACACACACATAGTACGCACTAAGCTCATCACAACGTCACATTCAAAGCCCATATCATATGCTCGTATCATATCGTATCGTAAATCACATCATACAACTTCGGTTGAAAACTAAACAATCATACTTGTATACAAGTCAAACAGTAGGATGAACAACACTAAAAAGAAGAAAAAAAATGAGAAAAGGGAAATATGAGACACAATGGACAATACTTATTCAGTTTTATTTTTTCTTTTCTTTTTCATTTTATACAAAAAGCAAGTAAATAAAAAATGAAATAAATATAAAGAACGAACTTAAACTTTTTTAAGAATGAGACAACAATTAAGGCGTTACAAACTGGACATAGTAAAAAAAAATAAAACTTTAAACACTAGTTATAGAAAATGGCGCTCAAAAGATTACAAAAAAATCGTAATATTCTCAAAAAAAAAAAACTATTTTCTACCAGAATGTCATACAAAAACTGTATAAAATACACTAATATTTCGAATATAAAAAATTAATAGTTGAAGATAAACTCGATAGTTGGCAAAATAACAAACAAACTGGCTAAGCTTCAAAATATACATACTATTTAAAAACAAAATGTCTTTATAAAAACAATAAAACACGAACTTATATCTAAAACAGTAAAAATTATCTAAAAGAAAAAAAATGTAAAACAATTAACCATACATACAATACAAATGAATCAACTCAAATTTTTTGCATATAAAGCTTAAACGTTAGTACATCCCGCCGTTTGAACATTTTTGTAAACGAGATAATTGAAAGGAAAAATAAATACTTGCGAAAAAAAATACGATACGATATACATACATATTTCAAATGAATTTACCTAACTACAATAAAATACCATACTCAAATAACAGTAAATAATTATTGTACTACTATAAACAGCAAGGCGATATTTAAACGCGTTCATTTTTGAATACTTTCTTTGACTATTCGCAGACTTTTGGTAATTTAGATGACAAAAAGAAAAAAAACATGGAAGAGCAAAAAAATATTAAAATTCAATTAAAATAATAATAAAAAAAATTAATTAAAAGAATAATAAAAAATTTAAAATAACTTTTAATAAAGCTTACAATTAAAGAAAATGTGATGGGCTTGTATGTGTGAAGAGTTTTGTGTGATGTGGCGTACAATTCTACGATGTATACAAAAAGTTAGCTGTCTTTTTTTTGCAATATTGCAATATTTGCATAAAAATTTTTTCTATAAACTTCGTATTGTATTTAAAAAAAATAAAATAAACAATAACAAAGTGGTAGACAAAAAATGGACAATATCGTTATGAGTTATTTGTAATTTTAAACGACTTACTGTCAAAAAATTTGTCAATTTTCGCTCTTCAAGAAACTAAAACAAAAGAAAAAAAAAATCTAAAATAATTTAACTCATAGCAAATAGCAATTGTCAGTAATATTGAATGACTTTTTTCAAATTTTAAATGTCAATTTCTTTCGTACTCAAAAACATTTAAGCTTTTTTGAAAGCTCAATATCAGTTCATTGTCAATTTTAAGTGTAATGTATAATAAAATAGGTGTAAATGTGTAAACGAAATAAAATAAAAATGAGAGAAAAGCATTTAGTTTACATAAAGCAAAGAAAATTAATAATTAACAACTACATAAAAGTAACATTTAGCGATTTTCAGAATGTACTTTTCGAACAAATAAAAGTATTGTGTAAATTTTCAATGGTTTAACTGTAATTTGAGAGTATATGTTTAGGCTAGCAATTGTTTTTCTTATTAAATTTTACTACTTTTTCTACTACTATTTCTACTACTTGTTCTACTACTATTTTTACTACTTGTTCTACTACTATTTTTACTACTTTTTCTACTACTATTTGTACTACTATTACTACATAATCATTTGCTAAGTAAGTTTTCAATATTATTATATTTTGAGCCTAGTTGATTTGCATACTAAAAGAGTAAACTTAAACATTTTTGAAAAATCTATGAAATAGTATACAAACAAACATTAAAAAGAAACGTAAAACGAAATACTATATGGAAAACTACTGGTAAAAAAAATTGTGGTGAACCAAATTTAATAGTAAATTGTACTCAAAAAAAAATTCAGAAATATTTGTGGTACGTCAAAATTTTAGCGAAGAAAAAAATGCAAAAAATTATTATAAAATTAAATACATATTGAAAAAACAACTGAGCATAAATAGCAGTATAGCAAATTATAGAAAAAATAAAAACAAAAAAATCGTAGCACTAAAGTTTAAAAAGTAACTATGCCGATAATTGTCCAGAAATAATGTGGCAGCACTGAAACAAAAAAGTGCAGAAAACGCCATAAAAATACATTTATTTATTTCATTAGGTTTTAATTTTGGTAATATCTTAAGAAGCAAAAATAATTAACCTAATTTTAATTAGAAAATTAATTCTCATTTAAATTTTCAAATATAATAGAAGTTTTAGAAAATATTTAAAAAATTCTAATTGTATGAAACTATACTGAACAAGTGGAACGGAAGTTTCAAAATTATGATGGCGTACATTTGCCACAATTTAATTTAGCAGCAATTCATTTCTGAACTAAGCTAGCCTGTACATATGTATTGTATATGCAACTGATTTTGACTGTATTAAACATCTAGCTGGAAATTGCAGTTGTACAACTTAAGGGCAAGCAAAATGTGTGTGCTTAAAATAAAAGTGATGTTGATTTTGATGGTTATGAAATTATTTAATACACAGATTATTAAAGTAAAAAATAATTTTTTTTTTCAATTGTAATTGAAATTGTTTCTAGCTTTAAAGAGATTTAGTAAAAAATTATAATTAAAGTTTTTTATATTAAAAATAATTTTTCGATGAAGTACTTCGTAACCCTTTCTTGTTGGAGTGTTTTGATCGCCGCTATAGCCGAGTGTTTGGCTCGCCTAACATCAAATATGATGGAAAATTAATTTTAATAAAAAAAATTTTTTTTTTTCCAACGACGTACACACCTCGTCAGGGAATGCCAGCACCGCCGATTGTAATTCTAACATAAAATAAAAGCTCCTCGTAAAAATCCATATGGGTTCGCCATTTATTGGAAAAACTCTTACGGGCACATCGTAAATTGGAGGAAGAGCTCTGACGAAAATCGCTTCAACGGTTACAAAGCAGCAATTATCTATACATATATTTATAAATATAATTTGTTTAACAATTTTAAAACATTATTTGAGAAAAAGTATAATAGGCGGGGTAAAAATGGAAAAAGAAACAACTAAACGGATCACTTAAAAAAATAGATTATAAAATAGAATTCATTTGAAAAAAAGAAATGTAAGTTTGTAGTGTTAGCAACTACACGTACATACGTACATTTGTTAGGTTCTAAGCAAAAGGCAGAGTGACAGAGATATGTTAGTTGGTATGCACGTTTTGTGCGCGCCAGTGTAGTTCAATATGATAAACAGTAGCAAAAATAAAATGCGCGCACAAACAAAATTGAAAACAGTTTGTAGTTGGCAAAGGACAAGCACTGATATTACGAAAAAAAACATATAGGAAAATGCAGCATAACAATTAAAAAACAGAAAATAATTATTTAACTGTTATTTTTTAAAAAATGTGCGTGCAATAATATTAATGAATATTTAAGGAATTTTTATTGTGTGCGCGCTAATTAATAGTAAATAAAAAAAAATGTATGCATACAGTTGATTGTAATGAAAAATATACGAAATTAATTAAATTTAAATAAACTAATTAAATTTAAACAAAATTTAATTAAATTGTATTTGAAGCACAGTTATGAAGCATTAATATAATATTGAAATGTGCATTTGAATGGTTGGTTTAAGTAAAAACAAAGAGGAAACACAAAGAAATTAATTAATAATAAAATAATTATTATTAAAAAGAATTGCTTAGCTTTGTGTTAAATTGCTGTTAAATGTATAAATACCAACTTGAAATAATAATAATGAGTATTTAAAAACGATATAAACTGAAAACTATTAAAATAAAATAAAAAAAAGACACAGAAACACATACACGACCATACATAAATAACAAAAAACAATAAAGAATTGTGAAAAAATATACCAAAAAAATATTTAAAAATACTTTTTTTTGTTTTTTTTTTACTAAAATTGGATAAAGGCGAAGATGGATTTAACAGTGGTATGTATTATAGGCTCACTTGAAGTTCTGCACCTTTTTAGCACTTGCCGTTGGTTATGTAAACATTAACCTCTTCATTATATGGAATAGATTCATTTTAATTAGCACTCATATTTCACGCCTTGATTCAAGGCTCACCATAATTTTCAACTAGTACTGCAATATATGCTGGCCAATTTCACAAACGGACCATGGTGCCGGAAAGAACAACATTTACATACATATGTATATATTTAAGCGCATAACGAACTGGAATTAGCAAATCATACACTGCACACGGCTTACGCAACAAATCGAACAAAATTAAAATCATATTATTTATTCAAAAATGAAAATTGATTAGCGCGGCACTAATGTTGTTTAAAATTTTCAAGCAGAAAGAAAGGAAGCACCAAATGATTGTAGAGAGTTATCGTACCAAGCACACTCCGCTATCGATAGCTTATCGGTGTAGTGCTAGTTGAAATTAAGAGAGTTAACGTAAACATGTTTGTAAAAAAATAGATCACAAGCGTAGAATAATATATATGTATATAATATATATATATATACAATATATAATATATATAGATGCTTATATTATTAAATTATTTTCCACATTCTTTTCAAAACTAGTGTAGTCACACCTTGAACAGACCAAACACATAAACAGCTGTTTGTAAACATTCACTGAACATACTAGTAAGAATATTTGCAAAAATTATTCTAACCTTATAGACATCACAAAAACTTATCAACCAGCTCAGTGGTTATTTATAAATGGAAACAAATCGGCAATAAGCACTGAGTACATATATATTATATACGTAATATTTTAATATATTGTGTAAATAATACGATAATTATACGATGCAAGGTGTAGGCACAGCGACGCCGGATTTTCAACAGCCGCAACCACATCATTTACAGCAGCAACAGCTACAAACACACGTACGACGGAAGCAACAGCAAGTGCCCATGAGTGATGTAAAGGATTGGCGACCATTCATTTATGGTGGATTAGCGTCAATAACAGCGGAATTTGGTGAGTGGCAGGAAGGGATATTATGAATCAGTGGAATTTAAAATAAATATCTATGTATGGGCAAATGGTAGGTAGTGGACGTAAATAATTATTGGTGACAGTTCATGTTCATATCTGCTGCGCATACAAATTTTTCCTATGCTCGCTGGCATTACACCAATTTATCTTCTACTCGCAGCTTATGACGCTAGTGTATATAATGTAATCAAAAGTGCATAACTTATGAACGTCCAAGTGATTTTATAAATTTGTAAACAAGCGTGCTGCACGGCAAGCGAATGAATCTGAAAGTATGTAATTGATTTCGCACAAAATTTCTGCTGCTTTGCGCTAGTAATTGACTTTGCCAGTATGCACAGCGACAACACGCTTATCTCGTGCCTATTTTCGTACAGTACATACGTGCCGTTTGTATGTTTGTGAGCTTATAAAAATATTAGTATTTTTTTCATAAAATGGTTTATTTATTTATCTATTTCTCTCTCTTACACAGGTACTTTTCCAATTGACACCACCAAAACACGCCTCCAAATTCAAGGTCAAAAGATTGATCAAACTTTTTCACAGCTGAGATATCGTGGCATGACCGATGCCTTTGTAAAGATATCTCAAGAGGAGGGTTTACGTGCACTTTACTCGGGGTAAGTGTGTTTGAAAAGTATACATACACGTATGTATAACGTTTCGAGTGCAATGTACGATATTTATTGTATGAAAATCAAGTTTAATTAAATTAATATGCCCACAGAGTGTGCAGTTGTGTGTTTAGCAAAAAAAAATTAAAGCAAGTCTGACACGAAACCATATTTAAGAAGTGCACAAAAAAGTATGTGTTTGCTTTTGTAAACAACGAATCTGTTTTCAAGTTTGTATTTATTTCAAGCTGTTTAGTTTTAATTGTGTTTTGTCAAGCGTAAGCACATGCCTATATAATGAATGCATATTTATTTAATGTTTTTTTTTTTAATGTCTACATTTTTGTTGACGTAACGGACAATCAGACTCATAATACCGGCTAATATCAGCTATGATTGAATATTTTAAATTCACATTTGAACAACATTTTCGTAATTGTTTTGTCGAAATATAAAGTGCTTAAGCAGATAAGCTACTCAGTAGGCGCTTGCATGCCCATTATAAAGTATGATAACAGTCAAAATACATTTGTCACGTGCAACCAACAGGCGTGATAGGCTACTTAATTGATAAAAAAAAACTATAAGCTTGTACGCTTTGATATTTTTTATGTGATTTTTCATGTTATAAGTACTTTAAAGCGTTTCAGTCGGAAAAGTGAATAATCATATTAAGCGAAAAGATAAAGTTAGTCATTGAATAAGCATTACGGCTAAGCGTCGTTATCTTATCTGCCTTTCATGCAGTTTTTTTCCATGCTCATTAACATATAATTAGCAACGCTTTCATAAATTTTTCAATTTTGCTTAGCAAAATTTATTTCAATTATTATTTACAAGCTCAGATTATCTAAAATCAATACAAAAGCAGCATATAATTGCTTCTATCTCTACTTTAGATCAGCAAATAAATAGCAAAAGGGGCTTGTTCGCGTCAGAATTTGAAACTAGTCATAATTAAATGAAAATTTATTATAAAAACAATAATTAAAACCGTTTTTTAAATCGATTGTTAGCGCTGTGTACAATTGTAGCTATAAATACATATTTAATGCAAGCGGCAATTGCACGACTCTCCTTTAAAATTAATACTAAAATGCATTTTGATTTTATTTTCATTGTTAATAAATAGTAGAAAAACTTATTTTTATAACATTTCGTTGTAAACAATTTATTTTGAAAATAAAATTTATGCTCTCTCTCTCTCTTTCTCTCCCACATACAGCATTTGGCCCGCCGTACTACGTCAAGCCACTTATGGCACCATCAAATTCGGCACATATTACACACTGAAAAAATACGCAAATAATTATGGTTTACTTGTTGATCATGAAACCGGCTCGGAGCGTGTATGGGCAAATATTTTGTGTGCAGCAACAGCGGGCGCTGTGTCCTCTGCGATAGCGAATCCCACAGATGTGTTGAAGGTACGCATGCAGGTGCATGGCAAGAGTGCGCATCAACATGGCTTGATTGGTTCCTTTTTGGAAATCTATCGTTTTGAGGGTGTACGTGGCTTATGGCGTGGTGTGGGACCAACAGCGCAGCGCGCGGTGGTTATAGCTTCGGTGGAATTGCCGGTGTATGATTTTTGTAAAATGCAATTAATGAATACATTTGGTGATCATGTAGCGAATCACTTTATGTAAGTATTCAGTGCAGTGTTTTAAGCGACAAAATATAATTTATTTCCTGATTTTTTTTTTTTTTACAGCTCAAGTTTTATTGCCAGTCTGGGCAGTGCGGTTGCCTCAACACCAATTGATGTCATAAGGGTATGTCATTTGAATGCAATCGTAATAAATGGAATAATTTTACCAACATTTCTTATGCCATTATAGACTCGCCTCATGAATCAGCGACATTTGACGGTTGTAGACGGCGTTACTGTTACGAATACACAAAAGCTTTACAAAGGCAGTTTCGATTGTGCGGTGCAGGTATGTGTCAAAAAAAATAAACAATTTTTGTATATAATCTCATTTTTTATCGCCTCTCCTCTACAGACTGTACGCAATGAAGGCCTGCTTGCGCTCTATAAAGGCTTCATACCCACCTGGGTACGCATGGGCCCGTGGAATATTATATTTTTCATAACCTACGAACAGTTAAAGAAACTCTAAATCATAGAAATCTTCATCGTTGAATAGTACAAGCCGCATTTAAAAAGGACTATTTACATATAATCGTATATAATACGCATATATTTAGTTTAGAGTAAAACAAAACATATATGAAGCCAAAAAGCAAATTCTAGCGAGTAAGCTTATAAATAGTAGCAATTATATGTATTTATATATGCGTATTTTACATAAAAGATAAAGATAATTAATATGGTTGCGCAAAAGTAATTAGGGAAATATTATTAAAATATTTAGTAATATTAATTAGCAAATGCGCTCTATAGTTAAATAGGCATGTCAACGAAAGAACACAAAGCTAGTTAGACAAATAATTGATACTTTCTACTTTCATATGTATGCAAGCAAACAAAGCAATTACTAGACCAAGTGGCATGTGACAGCGTTGATAACAGTACTACATGTTTGTGCATATAACAGATATGCACAAGAATTGTTAACTATTTGTTGAACTAGTAATAAGTTATATGGAAAATTATTTAGTAATGACTTTCAGTCGACACTCTACTTTTTGCATTAAAATGGCATATTTTAAACTTTTTCTATTACAATAAGTAGCTAAAATGTGTTACACTCAAAAAACATATATGTAACTCATAATTTGCATATACACATGTCTGGACATGAGAATGTATATTAATTTTACTTTTAAAAACATTTATTTTATGCATTTCGAAATTAAACTAGTTACATAAATCGTATTATTTCACTAATGGCATTTTATTACTGCTACTGCTTTATAACTAAAAAATAAAACACTTAATTTTAAGCTACGTAGTTACTACTACTCTACTCTATTTTCTACATATGTATTATATTTTTGCATTTTCAAAAACTACTACTAAAAACTCGTTTATACTCTTAAATTAACAATAAGCAATTTATTGTTTGAAAAAAAAAATCACATTAATTTTTTACGCTTCAAATACAGTAACAGAAATATGTTGTATTTATGTATAAATATATTTGTATGATTTTTCTGGCAAAAATTCTATGTTAAATAAATTATATTATATACTCATTGTGGTCATCGCTGTTTACTGTTAATTTTTTTAAATGCTAAGTAAAACTGTTGTTGCTAGCTTTTCACTATTGTGAACAAAAGAAATAAAGTAAAATTTTGTTTAACAAACAGCAAACAAGAAAAAAATGCATTTTCATTTTTTTCTTTATTGAAGTCGTTTTTGTATAGATTTTTAAAGTATGAGGACATAAAAAATACAACAAACAAAAAAAAAAACACTGAAACAAGTTTAACTAATAGCTTAAAAACAGTTCGAATTTTTTCAACAGCCTAAAAGTATGCAATGTTTTCTTGTGGCACGGAAATCACTTTTTGCGGAAATGCGGTCACTTAACGGTAGTATTTCCTTTTTACATCTTTTGGGCGAACAAATTTTGAGTTTCTTTTTTTTCAAAATTTATAATTTTATTTTCCTCCACAATGAGAAGTCACTAAAAATGTATAGAAAAAATGCTAGTAAGCGTTTTAGCAGTTTCAAAAATCTGAGGACGGCTGAATAGCCTCAAGAGTCGCTTCTGATAAACGAAAAAAAATTATTTTTAATTTTTTCCTCAGCCTAATTAAACATTTTTATAACATAAGGCCAAAACAAGGATGTAAAATACCAAAGGCAAATAATAATAAAATAGTAAAAAAATATATAAAAAAAGTAAAGCATAAAAACCTAATAAAAAAAAAATCGACACAATGTTATTAACATTCCTAAAAGGGCTTCAGGCACTTAAAGGTATCACTTAAAATAAATTGCTAAAAAATAGAAAAACCCAATTAATATAGTCTTCAACTAAATTGACTAAATTTTTTCAAACAAAAAACACACATCAAAACTAATTTCTCATTCTTTTTTTTAATAGTTCACATCTCTCTTGAGTTACAGATCAAAGTGCAGAGACAGCAACACAAAAACAAAAAGCAACTTAACCACCACGTGCAAACTGGAAATTCCCAAAGCGGCAAACGGCGATATAATGGAATTCATCAATTTGTGTTTGGTTTCTTCTTTGTTACTACTTTGTGTTATATGAAAATTAATTAAAGCAAATATTTTATGTTAAATTTGCATAGCGCGCTTTTGCCTTATGATTTTTAAAATTTTCTTTGTTTGTTTTGCACTCAAAATGCAGAATCCGAAAAACCCAAATGAGCGAACACAAAAAAAAATAAAAATAAAAATAAAAAAAATTATATTACAGTCGCTGAAGCATGCAACCACAAACAAACGCGCCGAAAATTCACAATTTTAGTTAATTTATTTCATTTAGCGAAAAGGGGGCCGGCGCCCAAGTGTTACCGCCACTATAAATCAAACAGTGCGAAATGTCACATTTATATACTAATTGTATGTTAAAAATGCTTAGTAAACAAATTAACTATGCAACGAGTGGGTAGCAAAAGATAGAAAAGACTAAACAAAAAAATAAAATTATAACGCCAAAAAAGTGCCAAGTGATTTAGTATTTGGGGAATACCTGCTTGTAAATATGGCGGTGGTGCGATTAAATTGAAAGAAATTGAAAAAAAAATATAGAAAAAAACTCCTCCATATACATTTTGTAACATTTTTTAGCAGTTTATATTATTTATTATTTTTTCACATCCTTTTTTTCACATACTTATTTTCGTGGTCGAACTACTTGTATTTATTGCTTTACTAATTTCTTTATATTTGCCATCATTTGTCATATTTGTATATATCTACATACATATCTATGTATGTAAATTTATGTGAGCAAATAAAAAAGTATTAAAAACAGAAATTATTTATTTATATTTTAAAATTAGTTATAAATGAAAAGAATTGAGTTGTCTAGTGACCAGCGCAGGTGGTAAATAATTAAAGTAGAAGATCAAAACATAAAACAATCAATGATTAGAACTTTATGAATAATTAAAATTGTATTAAATTAAAGAATTCAAAACACTTTAGGGAGCATTGATTGCGTGTCACACAGAAAAAAATCAGCAAAATATTTTTTTTTTTTAAACTGTCAAACAATTCGCTATCACAAACGAAGAAATGTCAAATGATGACAGCATTCACAAGATGAACCGAAAATTATTAAACGTACAGCATTTTATTAAAAATTAAATTATTGTTAAACTGAAAAGTTCAAAAAACTTTAAGGAGTCTTGTTCGCGTGCCAAACGAAAAAGAAAACAATAACTCTCACAAAGTAAAAAAAAATATTTGATATGTGACAAGTTGAACCAAAAACTTATTGATACACAATTAATTCATTTTTAAAGTGGCTTTCACAAAATTTTAAAACCACACGTGCCTATTATTTAAAAGAAAAAATAAAAAGCTTAATTTGGAAAATAATAATTAATAATTTTTTTTGTATTATCTCTGTGTGTAAAATAACGTTTTATTATAAATTCAAAACAAACCTAAAAATATATATACTTAAGGAATTTTAAAGACGTGTATGAAATATTTTATACATTCATATTAAAACAAATATAGTATTATTTAACCTTTTAAATCATTTTTTTTTTGGTAGACTGAACACCAACGACTTAGGGACTAATAATAATCCCCCATCATAATTAATTGCTAAACATGGGAGTACACCAAACAGCTACTGTATTTCGCCAAATTAGAAAATCCGCTTATGATGGAGCGTGCAAAATATTATTTTTGTTATCAAATTTAATCCTTATTAGGTTAATTTCGTCTTTTGTATATTATTTCTTTTATTAAATATAAAACAGGTAAAATTTAAATTGATTTATTAATGTTATTGTTATTAAATTTTTTTAGAGTTTTTTTTTGATTTTCTTGTTTGCCTTACTTTTGTTGCAAAAGAAATGTGTATAAAAGAAAAATAAATATCAATATACGAACATAAATAATAATAAGATTTGAGGAAAAAATTGCATGTCTTTTGATCTTCGGTCTTGGCTGGCCGTCAATTATTGGTTATGCAATACGAATTTACAGCAGAGTAGAAATTTATCCGCGTTGGCTTCCCACCTTAGGGATTTAGAGAAAAAGTTGTCATAATCGGCTGTAAGTTTTCAATGGTTTAATAGTCAGTATAAAACAACAACAACAACAAAAGCGTTGTTAGTGTGTTACACTTATTTTAGGTTTCTGGCTAATATCACTAAGGCTATATCTTCTATTAGATCGTTGAACCACAACTACTTTTCAAAAAGTTTGCCTTGGCTTATTTGCTTTTCCAAGTTTATTTTATTTATATGAATTTGTAAAAAATCATTTTTGATTTCACTTTTCGGTCGGAACTATTAGTTTTCTGTTATTTAATTTCCTAAGATTTTCAACAAGCCGTAACAGCTGACAAAAATATTTGGTTGTGAATAACCTGAGAGGGTGAGGTTCACAATAGCGCTTTTGTTCATAGAAAACGTGTCTTAATATCGATTGAAAATCCATTTGAACGCCATTTTCAACTAAACTCGAAATTTTAGCGAAATTTTAAGACACTATCGGATTCCCACCAAAGCTCATTTATATATATATATATATATATATACAGCACTCGTGTGCTGTTTTGTTAATAATAAAAAAAATTCTACTTTAAAATGTATATTTTTTCAATTTAAATTTTGCTAAATAGTGTAATAATTTACGCACATACTTCTAAATTTATATATGTATGTATGTATATATGTACATACATGTGTCTGTATAAAATTCATTAAGAAAAAAATTAATCTAATAAATAAACATTAATTTTAAGCCTGATGAGTAAAGAACAAAGAAGGCGCGAGTAGAGAGCAAAATTTATCTATATTTATAAAAAAATATAGCAAAACAATAAATTCATTCAAATATATTGACGTCACTATTGCTCTGCCTATTGTATTATTTTGTGCGTATTTTGTGACTTTTCTTCACTAGACCCATAAGACGAGTTCAACCGTTCAACTGCCATACTGACTTCGTGGTTAACTAGTTTATGAAAATTAATCAGTACGGCTATGCAGATGATTGCCTTTTAACCGGACCGAGAAACGTAATGGTTTACTGACTTCAATACTACTTGGCAAAGTGGTTAACTGAGCGGTAACTTGAGCATTTGCTTTAATGCTTGACTAAACACACCCACAACAGCGAATAGATGGAGACTGAAACGCTTGTGGCTTGAAGAGTGGTGGCAGTAAGAAAAATGAACAAAAATGGAAAAATAAAGTACAGTATTAAATAAAATTATTAAATAAACAATATTTTCGAAATTTACTATTAAAAGCCAAAAGAAAAAAATCATATACAATACAAAAAAAAAAAACTGGCATGCATAAAAAATATGCAAAAAAAAAGCACCAATAAAAAAAATAAAAATAAAGTTTTTTTTTTGCTCTAAAAGTAGAAATTAATTTACGAAATGCTTGAAATTCCTCTTGTTACGATTCTAGTTTTTTTTTAATCTCTTTTGAGTTCCTCATCTTCTTCCACTGCGCTGCAACAATTGTATTATTTGCGCACTGTAGAACAAAGAGTAGTAAATATATTCCTGATGGTATGTATGAGTATATATACATTCTTAAAACCACTGTAAGCACATCCTTTTTTTTTGTACTTTTGTTGCTTTTTTGAGGTTTTGCCTCACTTAACGGTAAGGCGACACAATGGCGTCTGATTTAATTTACACTGCCAATTTGTGTCTGTTGCCCATCTAGACTACAACACTATGATTTGCTACCAATTCAATTGTATCTAAACAGACACATATACACATGTGCATACCTGCATACATTTGTAAGCTTATATTAATATGTGCGTTGAGGTGCTAAAAATAGGTTAAAATCATTTATGGCATGCCATACTACCATAGCAGTAAGTTGGTAATCATAGTGATGATGCAAGCGGCTTGTGAGGGGTGTGTCTCAATAGGGAGTATACGATTACAACTTGTTTTTTTTTTGTACTAGTTTTATTTTTATATTTTTCAGTATTTTAATTTTATTTT